CAGGATAATAAAGTATGAAACTTTAGGCACAGAAATGATGAAAGTAAAGCAAGAGATTAGGCATGAAGTATACGCAAAAGAGGAACCTTAAGATCTGTTCCAAAGTGAGCCTGCCTTCATTGCGTTGCATCTCAGACTGAACAGACCCATAGCATCTATCCATCAAGAGACAAAGAGATCTCTCCATCTTCACTACCCCATGGAAAGTACAAACATTCCGACACCACATCGATGCCTTCCGCAAGCTCTCAAGCTGTCCCTGCATCCAATCCACATTCATTTCCTCCGTCAAAGACATCTTCTTCACCGCCACACGGTGCTTACACCTTCCACCGCCGCCTGCAACAGTCGCATCCCACATCTCAACACCTCCGGGACCACTGCTCTCCTCCCCAATCTGCCTCACCAGCTTCATCTCCGGGTGAGCTCCGACCTCGATCACCGGACCACACGAGCTGTTACGCGAGCTGGAGGCATGGAATCCTCGGGCGGAACGAGCAGCTCCATCATCGTCGCTTCCATCATCCTCGCCGTCTTCGTCATCATCGTCCGTGTAATCGCAATCGAAGTTTCCGCCGCCGGATGCGGCGTGGATGAGGGCAAGCATAGCGTAGTTCTTCCGCAGGCCCTGGACAGAGTTCCCGACAACGGACACGTGGCGGCAGCGGGGACAAGTGAGGGTGGTGTCGGAAGAGGTGGAGAACATCTTGGACAAGCAATCCTTGCAGAAGCCATGGCCGCATTGAAGCAATAGAGGAACTCTCTCGTCCTCATTATACCGCGTGTGGCACACGGAACAACAAGGCACCTTCATTCTCCCCACCATTAGAGCTCAAATGAGAAAGCCCTAAAAAAAAAAAAAATTCTGGTCTCGAGATCAGAGAGTAGAGGGAGTGTGAAAGGCAATCACTTGAAGACAAGGAGAGAGAGAGAGAGAGTTCCTCAGAACATATGTCCGGGAAAACAAAGTCGATCCAGATCAAGGAGAGAAGAACAGATCCATGGAGTAGAAAAGGAGAATTTTTGAAAGGTAGATCAAAAAAATTGCTGGGAAATCAGACACGTTTGAGTCGAGCAAGAAAAAAAAAATGTAAGAAAATGTGAAAAAGGTTCTTCTTCAGGGTTTTATACTGAAATGATGATTTTTTTAATTTTTTTACTTAATAATATTTTTTGGGGGAGGAAGGTCTAGTTAGTAGGTGAGTCGAGTTCTGGTTCGTCGGTTTTGACGGTTTGGTGCCTTTGGCGTTGAGCCAAGAACCCGCTTTCTGACCTGTCCACAGAGTAATTTGTCAGCCATCAGATTTATAATGCACCACTAAGGTCCCTAAGAAAATTATTATTACGGAAATAGCTCTTTTACTTTTCTGAATCATTATATCTTCTTTGTCTTCCTGTAGTAACTCTACCTTGGAGGTTAATTGCACTTGATCGTAAGTCTTTTCATGCGTTTGTCTTCCACTGAGAGACTGATTTTCTTGACTTTTTCCTGATAGAATTCTTTGCCTTTGAATTATCTTAGTAAATTTGTGTCTTCACATAAGCAAACATCACAACTGATTAAAAATTTCATTTATTTCACCATTTCAGATTTTGGAATATTTTACCTCTTGCGGATCTCTTGCTTAGTCATTGGATTTGACTTTCCTTATGTTTTTTTATTTTATTTTTGCATCTCCAAACCTGTTTTGAAATTTTTCACAACTAGTCAGATCCTCCGAGTCAATGGTAAACAAAGCCAAGAGCTATCATATGAAATGGGCTTTGATTATTGCCATAATATATAATATTTTGCTTATGATCCATAAAAAAAAGGCTTTTGGTCAACAATTCTATGATAGAAAATGGACCTCAAATTTTGATGGACCTTGTGCAAATTCACTTACACAACAATTGGGCATGGAGTCTAATGGTGAGATGTTGATGAGATAAACAACAATTGAGGTAACAAAATCTACATAGTCATGTTTTCTCACTAATGATGTTTATGTGCTTTTGAATACCATGATGCTTGCAGTAATCATCAATCATTATTATAGCAAACTTTAAGTCTGTTTTTCATAAATACGTATTTAGTTTCTTCAGATTCTTCCTACTTTTCTTTTACAGCCAAGACTTTCAACACAACAAATACGTATCTGGTTTTTTATGAAGGAAACACATACACAATAGTCATCCACAAATTATATAATGTGCTAAAAATGAGATCGAATAAAATTAAATTATCATCATATATTATTCCAAATATTAAACGTTTTCTTTAACACTCCCACTTTATTATGATTCTCCATTTAATTGATGTTTTATTTTTCTCCCGCTTTATTTATGCTCTCTCCTTCTTCACTTGTCCAATTCTTCTCAAACTGCGCCTGAAATCTTCTCAAAAACCCTAAAGCGTAAATCCAAACTTTGCTCTTCCGATTTCGTCACTGAGCTATGGCACCCATTGATCCCCACTCCTTCACCGATTCCTCTCATCCTCTCACCACACATGTCGCTCTCTCCCTCTACCTCGATTTCAACACCTCCATCATCCATGGCTCCGCACTCCTCTCTCTCTCCTCCGCCTTCTCCGGCGACCTCTCCCTCGATTCCCGCTGCATTTCCATCGATATGGTCCTTGATCCCCAAACTCTCGAACGCCTCCCTTTCCACGTCTCCACAAACCCGGATCCAATCCGAGGCACCGAGATTGTCGTTAGCCTCTCTGGTCAGTCTTCACTGCTCCTCGTCTACTCCACTTCTCCTTCAGCCTCCGCTCTCCAGTGGCTATCTCCGCTCCAGACCTTCTCCAAAACGCATCCCTATGTCTACACGCAGTGCCAAGCCATTCACGCCAGATCCATTTTCCCTTGCCAGGACACGCCTGCCGCCAGGATCCGCTACGACGTCGTCATGAACATACCGACTTCTCTCTCCGCCGTCATGTCGGCCCGCCACGTCCGCCGTAGGCTTCCGGTTCTCGAGGAGGCCAAACATCTCGAGGAAGGGTCGCTGGGTTCGTCGCTGTGGTGTGCCGAGGACAGGGTCGTGGAAGAGTTCGTAATGGAACAGCTTATACCGCCGTATCTTTTTGCGTTTGCGGTAGGTGCGTTAGGGTTTCGGGAAGTGGGACCAAGGACTCGGGTATACGCAGAGTCAGCTGCCAGCGAAGTTCTTGATGCGGCTGCGATGGAGTTTGAAGGGACGGAGGAGATGATCAGGCAAGGGGAGAAGCTGTTTGGCGATTACGAGTGGGAACGATTTGACTTGCTGGTGCTGCCTCCGAGTTTTCCTTATGGAGGGATGGAGAATCCAAGAATGGTTTTCCTGACTCCCACTGTGATCAAAGGTGACGCCACTGGTGCTCAAGTTGTTGCCCACGAGCTCGCACATAGCTGGACTGGGAATTTGATCACCAACATCAACAACGAACATTTCTGGTTGAATGAGGTTTTTTCTTGATTCCAATCAATGCTCTTGTGATTTCCTAAGCTACTATGCCTCAGTTTATGCTTTTTTTTTAAAAAAAGACTGTGTTAGGCTTTAAATTGTCCTGTGCTTTCGCTTTCTTTAGCTAGAAATAGGAATACAAAAAGCTTAAGAGTTTGGTTTAGGGGATATGGATTAATCTGTGTATCCGTACTTAGAGTTTGCCTTGTTGATGAGAAAAAAGTTTATTTAATTTGTTCATGGGAATAGGGATTTACAACATACGCAGAGAGGAGAATTGTGGAGGTTGTTCAAGGGGCAGATAGAGCTACTTTGAACATTGGCATTGGTTGGAGGGGTTTAAACGACGAAATGGAACGGTTTAAAGACAACTTGGAATGCACAAAACTGAAGAACAAACAAGAAGGTGTTGATCCAGATGATGTGTATTCTCAGGTTCCATATGAAAAAGGCTTCCAATTTGTGTTGCGAATTGAACGCCAGGTTAGTTGTGTAGCCATCTAGTTAAAATACGTATTACACCTTCTACTTGGGTGTTTTCTTATGTAATGTTACCAATAACGGTCATCTATTTACTGGAAAACTTTCAGGTTGGAAGGACTGTTTTTGACGATTTCCTCAAGAAATACATTGCTACATTCAAGTTCAAGTCGATCGATACAGATACATTTCTCGAATTCCTGAAAGCAAACATCCCTGGCATAGAGAAAGAGATCAACCTACATCTGTGGACTGAGGGCGTTGGCATACCGGAAGATGCATATGAGCCAGTCTCAACCATTTACACAAAGATCATATCCCTGGCAGAAGAGTTTAAGCAAGGAAAGATGCCAAGTGAGGAAGAGGTTGCTGAGTGGAACGGACAGGAATGGGAGCTGTACTTGGAGAATCTTCCTAAATCATGTGAACCTTCTCAGGTAGTCTTTATACTTCCTTCCTTCCTCTAAGATGATGAGAAAAAGAGAGTTTAGCCAATGTGCATTAAGTCCACGACAGACTAATTAACAGTTAGATTAAAGTTATTCTTGGATTAGTACAAGTAGAGGAGAAACAGGCTGTCGGGGTATTTGGCGATTAGGCTCTTAGCTGTGGAATGGTTAGGAGATCTCTTCAACAATTTCTTAGGATTATTTCTTATTTGTAATCGACAGTGGAAGATCGATAGAGGAAGAATTGGAAATCAGGTTCCAAAGCTATGCCTAACACCTAGTTTGCTTAATGGTGAAACAGGTGATGGCCTTGGACAAGCGGTACAGACTAGCAGAATCAAAGGACTACGAAGTGAAGGTGTCGTTTCTGCAACTTGCAATCTCATCCAAGTGCAGAGAGTACCATGGGGAAGTGGAGAAAACTCTAAAAGCGGTAGGAAGGATGAAGTACCTGCGTCCACTCTTCACTGCTCTTGCACAAGCTGGTGGAACCGAAGAGAAGCAGCTGGCGAAACAGGTCTTTGCAGAAGCTCGAGAAACTTACCACCCCATAGCTCAAGGAGTAGTTGAGTCTATCCTTTCTAAGTACATCTGAACAAGACCCATCTCAGGGTATAGCTTGAGAGCACTCTAATAAACAACATTTCAATAAAACCCAATGCCTGTAATAATAGTTGCTGCTCGAGTCTTAAACAAAAAATTGAATTGCTTTGCGGGTACATTACATTCTCTTCTGAGATTTAGTACAGCTTTTACTTCAACTATGCATTACTCTCGTCTTCCAACTTCTTGACATAAGCCTTGAGCACCATGATAACTTCAATCGCCGGTGCTTGTAAAGTAGAGACGAGATTAATGGCCGGACTTTGCAGAGCTCCGAGCATCTTAGCGTAGATCTCAGCGCGAGTAGGCATGGTCTCGAGAGCCTTGAAATTGTCGGGAGCGTAAAACTTACCTTCGAAGACGGCACCGGCAAAGTCATTGTCTTCGAGCTTGCGCTCCTTCTGGAAAGTCCGGTAGGGTTTGATGGCGGAAGGGATTTCATCGGTTTGGACAAAGAGCCAAGCATTCATGCCTTTCATACAAGGCTTGAGAGCTTCCCATTTGGTGCCTTCGATGGCCTTGATGACCAAAGTGTTCTTGGCGACGACGAGCTTTGTCGTGTCGGGGAGAGTTCTCCGGAGGTCTTGGAACTGCTTCACGGTGAGGCCTTTGTAGTTGATGGCGGCGAGGAGGTGGCAGTTCTCGAGATGGGACTTGACGGTCTCGACGGTTTCTTCCTTTTTGGTACGAGACACGGCGGATCTGATGACCGGGAGACGAGGGTGGTTTGAAGATTTGGAGATTCTGGGTTGTAAGGTTAAAGTTCGGTTGTGGCAGAGAGGAGACAAGGAAGAAGAGAAGGAGAGAAGAGCGACTTCCATTTTTGCTCAAAGAAGATGAGGAGACTGTTTATCTTCTGGGGTTGAGGGAGGAGATAGACAACGAATTGTTTTTTTTTTTCAATAATTTATTTATTTATTAAAGGAAAGAAAAATTCATGGATAAAAAGGCTGATTGACGGAACTACTAACTCCGTCTAGTTGGACACATTGGTCCGTTAGTTTAGTAACTAGAGTCTAGAACCAAAAGAAATGGTTTTTTTCTTCTTTTCTGTGACCAAAAGAAATAGTGCTGCTCTCTTTCTAGGAATGATTATGGAAGATGTGTCTTCACCATCTAACTATCATCTAACGATTTCTCTTAAACATTGTCTCAAACCAGTTTTCATAATTTACTTTGAGTTCATCATTTAACTGAAAGAAGGATGTAAGAGTTATAAAATAAAATAAAAAAATAAAAAGTATTCATTTGGCAAAACATGCTGTATTGGATTCGTTAGGGTCCTCCCTATTGTTTGTGTCTTGTGGATATGTAAGTTAGACAGCGTCCCAATTAGGGATATTGGAAGTAGCTTCATTCACCATCTTCACAAGAGTCACCTGCATCACCACCACCACAAACACAACAACCATATAAGTATTTAGACAAGTCATTCACAGTCTGGCGTTGTATATATAGGATTAGATTGAGTGGTAAGTATATATAAACATACCACACTTTCCGGAACACCAGGAGGCGGCATGGAAATGTTCCTCGGAGGAGGACCTCGCAGATGTGATCTCTTATCGAATCGCCACTCTCCTATTTTGCCATATGTCAGCTCACCCTGTATTTAACAGTCGGTAATGTTCTTATTTTAGAATGCATTATGAAACAGATATAAGTAAAACTAACATGGAGTTCTGATGGCAGATCACTGAAACATCCTACTTTAAGGACCTTGTATAAGGTTGCAACAAAACTCAGTAGCGTCTAATAAGAAAACTTAAATTAACTAAGCCAAAACGAATGACCACGAGATTGCATAAGTATTGAGAGAGAATACTTGAAACAAATTACTCAAGATGTAAATTCTGTTCTCTATTTATCTGCCAAGAATAAAATTAAGCACTCGAGTCAAACAGCAATCACCTTCATGTTGTAGTCACATCCATAAGTGTAATGGATGATAAACGTGTCCTTGGTAGACGGATCCCATGGAGGCTGAAAGATATAGTAAGAGCACTTAGAAACACGGAGCAAAGAAAATAATTTTGTAACTTTGACAAGACAAATTATCAAAAACAAACTGACATGGAAAAGGATATCATTAATAGTAATCAGCACATGCATGGTTAAATCCTACCTGAACCATGAAATCCTTCCGAAGTATGTGCCGCACGTCATGCAGAGCAGATGCAATTGCGTAACCGTACCTTATCGAACAGAAAACAGAAGATCAGAAAACAATGATGGGATTCAAAAAACAACGAGGAGCCAATTTATTGAGTAGAGATTTTTGTTTCCGGTTCTAACATTTCCAGCACCCATCCAAAAGCCTTATCAGTCTCTGGATCGTTTTTCATTGTCAGCGAGACATTCATCCATGTAGGAGCAATTTTTTCAAGTGATTCCTGCATAAGAAAGAAAATTCAAGTCAACATCAAGTATAAATGCATATATAGAACAAACCACATATTCAGGGGACACCAACATCACATATAGCTAAACGCCTCTAGAAATCTTTGGGGGCCAAGTCAAATGTGAGTGAGACAGATACAATCATTTATAGCACAGATAATCAATCTCACCTTGCTTATAATAACAGGAGAATTGCCAATGGGGTCGATATTTGTTACAGGGCCCATCTCCACTGGATAGTACTTTCTGACTATGTTTTCGTACTTTTGCGGTGTAATATAGAAAAACGGAAAAGCGGCTGGGTATCCTCCAACAGCCAAATTAGGAAGGGGATTAACAAATATATGATCAGGCTCTGCCATCAGCACATAGCTGCACAACAAGCAGGAGAATTAGCAAACAGTAAATTGTTTGTTAGAAGGGAAGGGAGACAGGACTTACTCTTCCTTGATGGTAGCTCTTTCAAGCCATTGCACGAATGCCCATGGTCTATTTAAGACAACATACCCCTAAACACAAGAGACTGACTCAACTTAGTATAAAACAGCAACAAAGTGAGAGCAAGAGAAGAGAAGAGAGGGAATGAAAATTCTCACCAGATCAACACCAGGGGGAAGAGGATCAACGACAAAAGTGGGTATTTCATCCATCAAGTTATCTGGATTACCGGAATGCAGAATACGAGTAAAGCCTCCCATATCAGAGCCAGGAAGAGCTTTCTTCCGGTTATACCAATAATACATAATACGACACTGCCATTTATTGTAAGGTGCATCTGTAGCTGTTAAGGCAACATGAAAGCGTGGTGCTGGGGAGTTCTTGACTTTTCTATGAGGCATCTGAACGACAGGATCTACAAGTGGACTTCCATCTGAATTACGCACACCAGATCTATTGTGGACTATCAGAGTCAGAAGATTATATGTCACAACAAAGAACCCGAAACCCAACAGAAATAGAAGCAAGCCCGATGCTTTTCCCATCTTGTTTTATTCAAGATCGAAACTATAAAAAGAGCAAATAGAAAGCAAAACTTCTGCTCAGGTATAGGTGATGATCAGCATAAATTGACCAACATACATAGCAGAGGACCCCTCACCACTCACGAATTCATTCCTGCAGATAGAGTTAGGCAACAAAAAGTGAAAAAATCGTCAGAAGCAAAGCCAATGCAACTTTCCAAAATGAGAACCACACTAAGATGGTCCAGCAATCAAAATTTTATCGAGTTTATGAGAATCAATCGAGGAAAAGAGTGAACAGGATGAATCGGCCAAGTTCCAGAAACACAGATCAATTTGACCCCACAAACCACAAAAAAAAAAAAAAAAAAAAACGAAAGATCTGGAGAAGCAGAAAACTCGAGTAGTCTGAAGCGAATTTCGGAGTATGACATAAGAAAAGGAGTAAAATTAAAAGCTTACAGATTCGTAGAGAGAAAGAAAGGAAGTCGCCGGAGAAGAAGAAGCGATCGAACGAGTAAATAATGCGAAGCGGAGTTGACTAATGGCGGATCATTAACGATTTAATTTTTCCGCATATGACAAAATGGTGTTCGGATCGTGCCAATGAAAACAATTCAGACAAAATAGAAAAAAACAACTTGTCGATGGATAGAAAATAATAGGTTGAAGAGTGCAGTGTGTGTGCAGGCACGTCATTGACCACATAAACAAACAACCTAAGCATGAATCCAAATCATGAACACAATGAACATTTACGGGGGAGAAAGGATTTACAGCAGAATTGGAATTCTAGTGTCGTTGGAGAAGTTATATTAACATACAAACTTATGGGCAATATGGCTTATGGCTTGCTTTAACCTTACAGCAAATTCTATTTGTTTTCATATCTCACACTAATTAGTAATTATGCTTTTGGTAGTTATGGAAACGTGCTCTACCTAATTGAACTTGTCTGGATCTCATTGTAGCTATCGCTTTACTATTCACTGAAACTATGCGTTACAAAGACATTTTTACTCACTCTCGCATATTGTCTTCATAACAATAGAGAGTTCTCAAGGAATCAAAGAGTCGTGAACCAAAGGTGACGACGAGTGGCCGGTCGTTTCAAGCAACGAATCTAGCGCGATTGCAATATATTCACTATTCAATTGGCTACAGCCCACAGACGCTTCAAATATATAGAACATTATGACGTTTCAGAACCGGAAACAAATTTGCAAATCACAAAGAAATACATAAGTTAACTCAGAAAAAGATCCTCATCATATTAAAACAAAAAAAAAAATCGAAAATTGGTTCGAAGGAGAAAATCTCCTTCCCATACAAAATTTATTTCAATAAGAAAAAACTCCCCCTTGCTCCTCTCTAGTTTTATAGCAAAAGATTTCATCAACATCTTTGATTTTTTAATAAGTCTGAAACAGCAATAAATCAAGAAAAAGAAAAAAAAAGCCGAAGGCTTTATGGTGGTGAGTGGCGGATTAGTACTTAGGCACCTCCAGATCCGTACTTCTTTCCGAGAAGAAGTAACTGCAGCTTATCGTAACCAGAAAGCACACCAGCACCTGCAATGGCACGGAGGATGTTGGCACCAGCACCCTTGAACAGAGACTTGGCTCCTTCCTTCTTCAGGATCTGTTGGAAGGCATCCATCGAACTCTTGTACTTGACGGCTTCACCAGACGTCATCATCATTCTTCTACGGACTGTGTCAATCGGGTAGGATGCAAGACCTGCACCATTGGTGATGAGCCATCCAAGGGCAAAACTAGCGAAGAAGCTGTCCTGAAATGTCCAGAAAGGAAAGAGAGATAACAATATTAGAAAACAAACAATGCAGAATCAGAATCTCTCTAGTTTTGTCAGTTTATGGACATAAGAGATAGATCACAAACAAACCTGCATGTCACCAGGGAGAAGTGGCTTCAAAGAGTCGTACAGTCCGAAGTAGAGACCACGGTAGACAATGATACCAACACAAGAGATGTTGAATCCACGGTAAAGTCCAGCAATACCATCCGACTTGAGGGTCTTCTTGTAGACATCAACAAGACCATTGAACTGCCTTTCACCTCCCTTCTTGGCGGCCTTAGAGTCATTGGCAAGACGGGTACGTGCGTAGTCAAGAGAGTACACAAAGAGAAGGGATGAGGCACCAGCAGCACCTCCAGATGCCAAGTTACCGGCAAACCACTTCCAGTATCCATCCCTGTCTTTCTTGAAGTTGAAAAGCCTCTTGAAGTAATCTTTGAATGCAAAGTTCAATGCCTGGCAAGTGAGAGATATATCAGTAACCAATGCATCACATAGTAGTAGACATATTTTAGGACCAATGAAGTGAAACTTAACCAACCTGAGTGGGGAAATAACGGATGACATTAGCTGTGTTTCCTCTCCACAAAGAACCAAATCCCTCATCCTTAACTGTCCTGCCGAAACAGTCACCGATACCCTTGTAGGGCTCAGAGAGCCTACCAGCCTTGAGCATCTCATCCTGGTTTTGAATCAAGAGCTTGACACGCTCAATGGGAGCAGCAGCAGTCTTTGACACAGCAGCGGAAACACCACCCATCAGGAAATCAATAGCAAAGCTAGAGAAACCTTTCTCTCCTGGAGCTTGGACAAACACAGGGGAAGCAGGTGTTGCAATCCTGGATGCAGCTGCAAGAGGATACTGAAACGCAGCATTGGAGTAGTTTCCGTATGTTGCATGCCTTTGGTATGTAGCGGGCCTCTGGAAAGCCGACGAATAACCAACAAGGTCCTGAGAAACACTCGAACGCAAGAATTGGCCAGAAGCCTTCTGCAGAATCGTGGGGTGCTGAGTCTGATCAACCATTTTGACCTCTGCAAAAGTAAACAACACTCAGTGAACAATACAACATGGATTATGCTGTACACTGCAGCAAAGCTACAGGAAGCAACAAGAAATTTTGAAAACACAAAAAAGTAATGAAAAGCCATGACTGAAAACATTGGATTTGTGTTCTAATAAATCAGCTATACAGATACGACTTTCACGTTTGAGCTATAAATGAGATCTAATAACAGATCCATCTAATGTTCACCCTGTGAAATGATGCGACGCAAAAACAAAAACATGATGATATTCAGAAGCAGGAAATTTTCGTCAATGAGGTCCGCACAACAGATCCATACATCAGTAACAAAATGACATCAAATAAAACCAACAGATTCAAAACATTTCTGGGATTACACAAGCAGATCGAAGAATCATAAGACAGATCTGTTACATCAAAACATCAACACTCAACCCCCGATCTAGATTCAATTCAATCCGGAAATAAGCACGAAAAACCATCAGATCTAGAACACGAGACTATCATATCATTTCACCTTTGGTTATATATTATTAGACTGTGAAACAGATCAATAAACTAAGATGAAGAAAAGGGAGAAACGACGAGATTTAAAGAGATCAGAGATCTGAGAGTAACCTAAACTTACCACAAGGAATCGATGGCAAAGCGAAATTCAAGGAGCGAGATTCTTCGCCCTTTCTTCTAGGAGCTGAGCGAAGAAGAAGAATGAGAGAAATTTCTTTGTGGCGAAGAGGCGAGTATTTTTGTTGGCCTTTTATTGGCTCGAGAAATAGGGCCGCAAGCAGTGAATGGAAATAATCAGGTGTAACGGCCCCATATAAGCTCAAAACCTGTAGGTCCGTTAGATCATCGAGATTGATATAGAGATGGATTTAAAGCCGTTGATTGATTACTAAAAGGAAATGATAGGTTTAATATGGAAATAAAATATACGACTCGATTATGAGCCATCGATCTGGCCAGCCTTTTTGCGCCGGAAATCTGGAATGTTTATTGCCGGATTTGTTAGTCAACTGTCTAAACGTTGACATTTAAAGCATTTTCTGGAATATTTTTGTTTCAATGAGACGAAATCTTCGAAACGTCAAAACCGTAACATAAGAGGTTGTGATGGGACGCTCTATCCGATCATAGAGGACTGTGTATTCGATTGATCGCGTGAATAGTACGTCCGTTACTGAGATCTGCGTGGCTGAGAAGATTATATATTATGGTCATCATATTTTTGATCGAGACTATGTGATGGTGATGGAGAGTTATGCTGTGATGACTCTATAAGACTATGTGAAGACTATGTGTGTGTGTATGTGTGACCGTATTGGGTTTGGTTGTTTATGACTGACTTATATGTTGTATTTGGTTATTTACAAATAGCCAAAAAAAAAAAAATGTATACCATAGAAGCTAAAGGTTTTAAGTTCTTAACACAGATCTGAAGTTCAAATCCTCAAAACGCAGAAACAGATGTAACATATACAAAAAACCTTATCAAAGGTTCTAAAGTGTTACGAATAGAATTGTTCGTAGTTGTATCGTGTGTCGTGGGGGAGACCGGAGAACCCTATTATAAATTTGGTACAAGTAGAATCGTATATTGTATATCTATATGTTACAAAGAGAATTAGATTGTGGAGTTATAATCGCATATGCATGTAATTGAATTCATTGATTGATCATAATCTTAAGACTAAATTAAATATTTTTGGTGATAGAATACTGTATATGACCTGACATTTTGTGGAGATTAATGCTAAACCAATAAAGTTACTAGATTAATTAAGCTGTATAAATTTATCTTTTCCGCGGGTAAAAAAAAAAGGAAAGAGGGTCATGGTTTCACCGTAGGACCGGGTTTAAAACCGACCGGCGAACAAAAGAATCTTCACGGCTCGAGGGTTAAGCAAACCCTAACCTATCGACTTTTAGTTGCTTCTTTCTTCAGTTCTTGTCTGCTCTTTGGTTGTCAAATTTTCATCAAATCGCCAATTGTTTGCAAGACAACCCCAACATTCAGAGGCTTTCCCAGTTTCCTTCGATTCGTACAAATCACTCTTCATCTGTAAACAAATCTCCGGTGGGCAATAATGTACGGCGATGCGATGCAGCAGCTCCCACCGGTACAGAATCAACACCTGATGGGTCCCGGCGGCGATTTGCACAGGGGCCCACCGATGCAGCCCCCGCCGATGATGCGGCAGCCCTCAGCTTCTTCCACTAATATCAACGACTACCACCACTCCTCTGCCCCCAATCCCTTCGATTGTAAGTACTATTACTATTATATCAAAAAGAATTTTGCTTTTGTTTTCAAAACTAGTGATTACTATGAGAATCTGATGTCTCTTGTCTGATGTTGCAGCACATGTTGACAGTTTTGGGGTGAAACGAATGAGAAAGCATACACAGAGAAGGGCTGTTGATTACACGAGCACCGTCGTTAGATATATTCAGGTAATGTTCTATACTCATAGCCTCTTCTTCCTTGGTTAAATTCTCTCTAGATAGCATTGTCTTTATGTCATGGATTTGATATTGATGTGTGGTTTAACTAGCTCATACTTTTTGTGGAAATAAAAGTACAAGAGTGAATTTACTCCATATATGTTTTTGTTCAGGCTCGAACATGGCAGCGAGACTCAAGGGACAGGACCTCTTTGCAACAAACTCCAGCTGCAGCAGTTGATGTTGGTTTTCTTTCGTTTTTCTGGATTATGCAATAGTTTCTTTGGATCACTTTTTCCAGTTTTTGAGTAATTTACTGCTCTACCTTCTTATATCTATGTTTCAGATGCTTCCCCCAGTTGCCTATTCAGACAATCCTTCGACAAGCTTTGCTGCAAAGTTTGTTCACACATCTCTAAATAAGAACCGCTGTTCAATCAACTGTGTAGTGGTATATCCCTCCAACAGCTGCCTGAATTGTATTCTTCTCTGCTTGCCATGTTAATCTATGGAAGAAAGCAACATTATTCTTTTCTTTTTTCTTTTTTATTTAACTCTGTTATGCCTACTAAATACGATCATTACTTATTGGGTTTCTTGTATTTAGTGGACACCTTCAGGAAGACGTCTTATCACGGGATCCCAAAGTGGGGAGTTTACTCTTTGGAATGGGCAGTCTTTCAATTTTGAAATGATTCTTCAGGTTCAATTTTCAGATTGTGTATATTATTAGTCTTTAGGGACTTCTGTTGTTTCCTCTATAGCTGTTGCTCCTGGTAATGGTATTGACTTTTGAAATCTGCTGTCAATATCAGGCACATGATCAACCTATAAGGTCGATGATATGGAGCCACAATGACAGTTATATGGTTTCTGGTGATGACGGAGGCACGATAAAGTAATATTTCTTTTTCTTTCAACCCATAATTTGTGCCATCTAAATGAGAGGCTCAGAATTCTGTGATTCGAATTAAGTTTGTGCTGTGACAATAATGCTCAATTGTCTCTTATGTATCAGGTATTGGCAGAACAATATGAACAATGTGAAAGCAAATAAAACAGCTCACAAGGAATCCATTCGTGATTTAAGGTATAAAAGTTCGATATATTAAATTGCATTCAATGAATCTCTTCAAATTTTAACATCGTGTATCATACAGTTTCTGTCAAACAGATTTGAAGTTCTGCTCGTGTTCTGATGATACGACTGTTAAAGTCTGGGATTTTGCCAGGTGCCAAGAAGAAAGGTCATTAACCGGTAATGTGATTTGAACAGATTGGCGGCAGATAGCGAACTTCTTAGCAGTTTGCTCTTCTGTTACAAATTCTGATGATTAGAGCTGTGTTTTAGCTGTATGTTATTGAAATTGCACCCTTAAGGCTATGTAGAAAAAGTTTTAATTGAGATTCGGCTTGGTGTCATGCCATGTAAAAAGTAGTTTGTTTTAGAGGATCCAAATTGGTGCTTATGACAAGTTTCCTATCCTTTTATAGGCAACTTTCAATGTTTTCTTTTTCTTCATATTTGTATGTTCTGAGAATTATTGAAGTGATCAAAGGGTTCTTTATATTTTGAACTCAGGCAGGCCATGGTTGGGATGTCAAGAGCGTCGACTGGCACCCCACGAAGTCTCTACTAGTTTCTGGTACATCATTTATAGACTTCTGATTTCAAATAGTGCTGTAAGTTGTATACTTCAGAGCTTCTCTCTATGACTTATCAATAGATTATTAACCGTTTTTATTTGTCTTGTCAGGTGGAAAAGACCAACTTGTCAAACTCTGGGATGCTAGAACTGGGAGAGAGCTTTGCTCACTGTAAGTGATAGAAAACGCAATCTATGTCTTATTAATACTTTTAAGTTCAATGCTTTGACGAATTTGGTGGTGTGTTCTCACTTTTGCAGTCATGGTCACAAAAACATGGTGCTTAGTGTGAAGTGGAACCAAAATGGCAATTGGCTTTTAACAGCCTCGAAAGATCAAATAATTAAGGTAAGGCTCACTTTCTTTGGGAGTACTGATTTGTAAACTATATTTTTTCGGTGCATTATGGAAGCATTTTTGTGACAATTATGCATGTAATTTGCAGCTGTATGATATAAGGACTATGAAGGAGCTTGAATCATTTCGTGGGCACAAGAAGGATGTAACATGTAAGCTGTCAAATTAATGACCATATTATCAAACACCTGAAAGCAGACAGACTGCCTGTATAAATTGCTTTTCTGTACATTGGCTAGGACTCTAAAAGTATATGCCTTCAATTGATTATCTTTGTACCCATTCTTTTGTTATTACCCCATGACGATTCTCAACTGGTTTCTTTGACATTTCTTATTTGCAACAATTTCTTATTAAATGTTGCTGAACTCTCTTTGTAGCTTTGGCGTGGCATCCCTTCCATGAAGAATACTTTGTCAGTGGGAGCGCTGATGGATCCATTTGTCATTGGATTGTGGGGTATGTATTGTTGTGAAGCAATATCCTATGCTATTTATTCTTTCATGCTATATCCAGTCGTCGCATCTACATTTTAGTAGAAATTTTATTCGACCTTTTATTTTGTGGTTTTGTTTGAGATGTGTCTAATTATGAAACTTTTTTTTTTTATTTTCAGGCATGAAGACCCGCAGATTGAAATCCCAAATGCTCATGATAACAGTGTTTGGGATCTTGCTTGGCATCCTATTGGATATCTTCTTTGCAGGTAGCGATTACGATATCCTGATGCTAGAGCTCTTTAACTGTTTTATTTGATGATGGTCTGTGGTTAGCTTTGTCCTTAAATAAATAATGCTTCAGATATTGATTTTTTACCCTAATATGTGCAGTGGTAGCAATGATCATGCAACCAAGTTTTGGTGCAGAAACAGGCCTGCAGATAATCCTCGAGATGTCCTGCAGAACCAAGGTTTTCTTTTTGGCTATTTATATCTGATTTTTTTTACTAGGCAACCCGACGGAGAGGGTGTGGGTAGTGGATAATATAATGCTCTCATCCATATGAGTAAATAGTAAGGATGTTGTGATAGGGTTGGGCTCGTACTTTCAAGTTGTATTATTGCCAGAAACTAGTTTTTTTTTCTTATGAAGGAATTCAAGTGTCCTAATTAGCGTAACTTGTATCAGGCTATAGTGAACAAGGTTTTGGCAATCGCATGTCTGATAATTTCCAACCATCTGAGGCATCTCCAACTCCTGGAGCATTTGTTCCTGGGCTGACACGGAATGAGGGGACCATCCCAGGAATAGGAATTGCGATGCCATTCGATGCATCCTCTCAAGGGGAACATAAACAAGCTCTTCCAGGTTCGATGGCAATGGGGGCTCCTCCGCTGCCACCTGGTCCTCACCCATCGCTTCTTGGAAGTAGCCAGCAGCAAGGGTATCAGCAACAACAACAACACCACCACCAAGGCCATCCCCAGCAAATGCCTCCAATGGGCAATATGCCTCATCTTCAGCTACCACCATCTTCTCATATGCCATTGCACCCTCATCCTCATCATCCCCGGCCTATGCAAATGCCTCCTCACGGTCACATGCCACCTTCCTCGATGCCTATGTCTCATCAGATGCCCGGACCAATGGTATGACTCTCAGATCTCTTGTAATTCGACCACAACCTTAAGCCTGCATCCCTCTTTGCCTTAGTGAGTGCTCATACTAATTCTATCTTTACCTTGTTGTTGGAGCAGGGAATGCAAGGGGGCATGAATCCTCAGATGTCGCAAAGTCATTATATGGGAGCTCCTTCGGGAGTATATCAAGGACCACCAAGCAGTGGTGGACCCCAAATGTATCCCCAAGGACGTGGTTTTAACCGTCCACAAATGATGCCAGGGTACAACAACCCTTTCCAACAGGTCCCTCTTCTTACTGCTATTTACAGTTATTTATGCATAAAATAGGCTCTTTCGAAACTTACCAGCTAGTTTCTATTAGATGTTGAAAATGTAGAGCTGAATGAAGGATTTGACGACTAATCCATTCTCTTTATTTTACTTCGTGCAGCAGCAGCAGCCGCCGCTACCGCCTTTGCCTGCGGGCCCTCCTCCGAACACCAATCAGCACCATCAGTAGCAGTTCCCGGCTCTATAACCCATAGCGAGTGAGGCGACCGTCCAGGGGTCCAACATCCAGTTTTTTTATAAAAAAATGTTTTAAAATTTGGAAAAAAATGCCCATGATCTATTATCCTTTTTTTTTTTTTTTTGTAAACAGCAAACCCTTGATCTATTGTCTATTATGATCTAAACTTATTTTGCTGTCTAAAATTTTGACATATATACAGTTTACCATAATAATTTTAGATTTTTTTTAATGTCAACATATCAGATTTTTTTAGTCTTAAAAAGATATACATGAACCAAAAATATAAGAAATGAAAGGAGAAATGATTGCTAGTTACATGAATTATAAACCACCAAGAAATAAACATAAACTACACCTAAAAAAAAAAATCCAAATCTATTTTATGTTTTTGAGTATATGTCAACATTGTTACTTCTTGATGTAGTTAAATAATTATTGTTATAGTCGGCATTATAACTCGCAACTTTTTAGCATAATGAAAATAGAAATACATGGATCACGGTTTAACCGTTTAAGGGATAAAATATCCCGTTTGTTCGTGAAAAGCGTTAATCCTTAGGAAAGAGATTTCTAGGCTTTTATTTGTGTGAGTTTATGTATATATACAAAACAGTTTAGACCGGAAAGAAGTAAAAAAAACTTTAGAAAAGTAAGAGAATTGCACACAATCGCAATTGCAGTTGCAGTATGATGATAAAAGATATGCATCTTCTGGACCGCGGTCAGAGTCTGAGGAAGCCTTGGTTGCTCCATTTTGTTGTACACTTTTGATCACAAGTCAAAATTACCGAGCGGCCCAAATGAAATGTAATAGGAATCATGTGTGATTAGTAGCAAATAAATGACAAAACGTTAAATTACATGAACTCTGTTTTATTGCCCCCACTACGAAGATACTGCAATTAAATTGCACCAAAGGTATTACGAAATTAGTCAGAGAAACAAAACCATTCAAATTTGACGAAACTATTCCTGATTTGGAGATCTTGCCTTGGAGGACTCTTGCCGTTTTTTCACAAAAAGCCTGCTTATATCTTCTGTGGCAACATTGCTCCTGCAGGTATATAATCTCACGTTATGGGTGGGAAGGGATAACAAGTGTTTTCAACAAGATATTGCATATAATATAGGTCCTAGTTCTCATGAAGATGCCTGGATTTCAACAATTCTTTAACTGCCTAAAAACATATTTCATCTCAGGGAGCATTTATTCTTTTATAAACAGCTTTTCGAATGATTGTTAACAACACTCATATAGCCTCATTCACATATTATCCCAAAAAAAAAAAAATCACTCATATAGCCTTCACCATAGTTTTCTAGGTTTGAGAAATAAAAGTGAAAAAAGAGATGAAACAAGCCATATATCAACTAACCTTCCCTTAAGCTGAGGAGGCACAAGCACATTACTCAAGGTTTCTGGAATATTCTTGGAATGAGGCAAATTTCCTCTTGGTAGCTTCGAACGACGAGGAAGAGAAGAAGATTTAACATTTAAGTCTCTTTTCCGTAATGCACTCTCGGCCATTGCAGCTGCAACAACGGAAGCATGGTCACCACCGCTCAATTGTGTCAGCGTTGGTGACTCCAGAAGAAGCAAAGCATCTGGTAGCTGAGGAAGTTCATCACTCCCTTCCTGCTTATTTAATGATCGCCTAAAGAAAAACACACAAAAGGGTCAACTAAAAACTTAACCAACTTGGACTCTAATACTCAAACTTGACACAACAAAGCTTTGTGCAGCTTGATTGAATTCAATATTAGAATTTGAGTAGATCGAAATCAACAAAAGGAAATCACAATAATCATATTCTTGTACACACATACACAAAGGGTAAAAAAAACTCTGCTTCAACATACATATACAAAGACGAGGCATGAGTAACTAAGCTATATGAATCAAATCGTCATAGGTCTTTGAGATTTGGTTCCATAAACACTACCTAACACAAATTAGAGCGCTCTAATCGCAAAAACAACAAATACAAAAAAAAAAAAAAGTAAGGGTAACAAATTAATTATACATCGAGAACCCAAGATTAGGAAACCCTAAAATCACTCACTGTGTATTCGGACGAAAAGATTGAGTTTCAGAGGACTTTTGTTGCGGTTGTGGCAATGAATCCTTCTGGTCGGCGGCTAAGACATCGTCGTCGGATGAAGAATCGTCGTAATCTACCAGTGACATAGCTTCTCCCACCTTCGCGCTGTCTTCCTTAGCCAAAACGGTGTCGCTCAAGCCGTTCTCGCTCTCTAAGTCTCTATATAAGATCTCTAAATAAAAACATTTAACAATTTTTGTCGTCTTAAACTCACATTAATCCACTAATCCAAAATTCCAAACTTGTTTATTTCGGTTGAATAAAGCAAATTTTCCTATATGTTGATTGTCTTGTACATACACTTAAACCAAATTAATCAAATGAAATTGAGTGAAACAAACAAGTGTAAACACAAAAAAACGAAAAAACATTTGATGATAAACATGTTGTGAGTTTGACACTCCAACAAGAAACATTGGAACGTATGTAAAGTGTATATACATGTAAGTTCAAAATCCCACTCATCTCAAGCTGCTCTGCTTGTTCCAGCTAGGTAGAGATCGTTCCGAGTTGATGCTGAGATCGTTCAACAGAGTACTGTTATTGCATGATTTCAAAGGTCCAAATCCCCTTAGCCCTGGAGAACGTTGCTGGTATGCACTTGACCTACTGTTACTTCCATTACTAATACCAACCCTCACTTTGCTTGGTGCTTCACTCATCATCGAAGTCGTCAGGCATAGCTTGTTCTTATACGGCGAGTAACTCTCTGACTGTGTGTCGAAACTCCTCGGTCTAATCCTTGGGGAGCTCAAAGATCTCGACTTTGCCTTTGCTGACTCTGTTGCGATCATATAAGTTGGTGTAGTGACCGCCCCCGCAGGGTTCTGTTCTTCCTCTTCGCTTATCGAAACTTGTCTTCTGTGATTATTCGGCGGTCTTCTTGGCGACGAGTTCCTTGGAGTCTTGTTCAAAGTTTCGTCTTTTGGTTTTGTTTTTAAAGACAAGTCGAGATCTTCGAGCTCCTTGCTCTTGGTTCGTTGAGTATCTACCCACTCGTCTAACCAGTACTTCCATTTCGTGTTACTTCGTTTCTGGTATGACTCTGCGGATTTCTGATGTTGGTTCACAAAGAAACAGTTTTCAGGTCATTTATAAAACTTACAACGCAATAGAATAAAAAAGTCTAATTAGAAGTAAGTGTGTAGAATACCCGGTGAGTGACTGCATATTCTTTGATCCTTTCTCTTCTTAGCGAAGCTTCTTTCTTGCTCATGACCACAGCTTTCGCTTCTTCCTTTGTTAAAAGACTATCGTCCCATCTCTTCTGACCATTTGTGTCCACCTGAAAACGTAATATATTTTCTTCTTACATACTAATAAAAAGTAGTCAAAGAATTACTTTTTTTGTGAATCAGAATACGTACCTTGAGTATGTTCTCGCTGAACATCTGAAATTTATTGTTATCTTCATAATCTCTTGGAGCACCTCCGGGGATTTGTGTTCGCTTACCGCACACCTGTGACTGAATGTTCACAACAGATTGCAAGCATTTTAGTGTAGTCATTGCTTGGCGTCTCACTGCACGACCTCTTACATATGCTTGCAGCTTCACTATTCCCTTCAAGGCACGTAAAGCTTTCCTTGCCTGCAATCAAGTTCCAAAACATTATCAGCAAGTCAACGGAAAAAAAACATGAAAGAAGACAATTGGCTTTAAAAGATGCTACACCATATAGAAGAGACTTAATGAAAGAGAGAAGTCTTTAACTCTCAACCAATCCCATGATCCTAGACCAAGCCAGAAATCCCAACTCCATCTGACTAAACTTCCATTTATCATGCTAGCTCTCTAGTCTCTAGCTAACCTACTCGTCTATAGTTAGTTGTTGAAAGTCAACACAGCTACCAAAGTAAATTACATACCTCCAATATTAGACTAAACACAAGGCTTTCATGAAAATGAGTCATTCTTTTTAGTCAACACAGCTGCAAAAGTAAATTACATACCTCCAATACTAGACTAAACACAAGGCTTTCATGAAAATGAGTCATTCTTTTTAGGAATCAGATAAGAAATAAGGTACAGAATCTTACAAGATGACCCCGGAAAGCTGTCTGAATCCGAGTAGCAGCAAGAACTTCTTCCTCTCTATTCAGAAACATTTGATACTGGACTACCTGATCAGCAGTTTCTGGGGATGTTGAACCTTCTAACTTTTCTATGGAATCTAACTGTTGACTACAGGATACTTGGCTGAGCTCACCCACATCAGACACAATCTCCGCATTTTGTTCCTCGTTTGATTCGTGTCTTGTCCCGTTCTCTGGAGGTGCTGTAATGGAAGGTAATCTTTTTTTAACCTTAAGCTTCCAAAATGTCCATCTTCTTCTCTTCTCTTTCTACAGAAATACATAAAATGAATGAAACAAGAAGCAGAAACAAGAATGAGAATTTTTTATCTTCTTTTTAAATTTTACCTTTTCTGAGTTAGCTTCTGAAATAAAAATCCTTTTCAATATAGTGAACAATCCCTTCTTCTTTGCCATTGTTGCACAACCATCACCTGAATATACTGCTCTGAAAATTCTCCAACAATCAGTCAACCAAATCTGTATAAGAATCGAACTGATTTTCAAACACTGAGCAAATCAAATCACTACGGATACATATTGCCTGGAACTTTAAAAGTTGCAAATCTCTCGGTACCAGTTTCCAGAAAGCCTAGATTTGTCGAATCATACTCCAGATCAATACTCTACAATTAGTTTTGATTCTAGGAAAAATAAAAGCCGCAATAATCTCCTGAAAAAACGGATGAAGATCTCCCTAGGAAATTGGATCACACAAGACACCAAAACCGAAACAAAGCATTTAACTATTCGAAAATTTGTCACAATGAAATGAAGGCACAGCACAAGATTGAAGCCTGTCTCCAAGATTTGAAACAAAACATAAGGAGAAAAAAAAAACTTACTTTGGTGGTGTCAGGGATTATCTCAAAACATTCGGTAGACTGAAATTGCGGAGAATCAACAGAAGCAAGATTCAGACAGGGGGCTTTGTTCAACAGCGAAGATGACTGTTCATCAAATTATGTGAACAAGAGAGAAGGTTATTCTCGTTGTTCTCTTCTCCACAGTGCCGACAAGTTAACGTGCCACTTCATTTCCACTCGAAATTATTATTTTACCCCTCCCACTCCATACTCCTAATCTTGTTCCCATTTATTAAGGTTTTAACCGCGGGTTTGCGTTAATATATATGTTTTCAGATCTACATCGCTATCAATTTGTTTTTAAATGTCACTTAGAAGTTCCATCCATTATATAAAACAAAGTAGTTAACTATAAGAAACCTTGTATCTTTGCGTTAATATGTTTTCAGACAAATCGCCACTCAGAAATATAAATGTCAAGATGAGATTTTGTGACCATCCAAGATTAAGCCTAAAGCACTTTAACAGAAAGAAACAAAAAAAAAAACTTAACTAACTTTGCTAGAATATTAACGAACAACCGTGTTTTTTTGTGTCTTTCCCACACTGCTAAGTGCAATATAAGTCAACCTTGAAGACTTATTTGCAAATGATAATTAAGTGTATGATAATGAAACTTTTAAAATTGGTCAAATGACAGTGACAACGCACTGCATTTTTGTTCAGATGGCAAAAAAACAAACTATCCAACTGTTATCGCTCTCAAGAGCCTTTCAGTACATATCCAATTGCATTTTTCTATAAATAAACATTTCTCTCTTCTTTTGTAGTATTATTAAGTCCAGGTACTAATTATATAGAGCAATGACCAGAAGAGTTCCAACGAAAACGAAACAAAGAAATGAAGCATAGACAATGGAAAAGGAGACATTAGACCACAAAGCGAAAAACAATTCTTTAGAGTTCATATACTAAAAAAAGGATATCATGTAGTATAAGATTCAAACACTTAAATTTGAATCCAAATATGAAATGACGAAAAGAACAACATAAAATCTATGGTCTTAAATCAGTTGTAAAATTACATCTCATTCCAAAATCATACATTACCACATTCTATCCAAGATATAAAACCTGAGTACTAGTAAGCCCAATAAAATAAGCGCGAGCCCAGTGTAGCCCAATTCACTAAGTTGCTCTCCTCATCTGACCAGTTCTCTTCTCTTTGCTCGACAAAGCAGCTGATCGACGTTTCTCATTTCTAGGGTTCCAATCAGATATCTGCAACAAAAATGGCTCTGGCTGGTCGCATCAGATCGGGGATCTCCTTCTTCAAAAACATATCCGTATCTGACTCCCTCTCCTCTGCTAGATCATATCCCCGTGGAGGGTCGCTTATCCCTGCGGTAATCGTATTCTTACGAATCGAATCTCAAGTCCAATGTTTTCTTCGGAAATCGATTTTTACAAGATCAGTTGATCCAATCGTTTGATTGGTTTGATAATAGAAGATAATGGAATTATCGTATTTTCGCGTTTACAATGTTCGGCATTCGATGTTTTTGAAGTCCTTAGTTATATATGTTATGGTCCTGAGGTTTTTTAGAGATTCTCATCAATTAATCTCTACTTTTTGTATTATTTCTGCAGTTGAGAGACTATGCAACAACTTCGGCTCAGAAAACCGGCAATGTTAAGGTACTCATCCTTATATGTTCTCAGTTTTTACTGTTCTTGGCAGGATTACTCTTTTTCTTAGTTATTTTTCTATGGTAATGGTGATTGCATCTATATATATATATATATATATATATCACATTATCACAATAGCTTTGATTGTTGGATAGGCATGAACTGAACCGATGGATAGCTTGATTTTATAGTAGTATGCATTAATATCCCCTTGAAATGTATCTGGATTTCTACTAGTTGTGTAGTTACATTCTGTATGCTGTTTCAGGTGCCTGTGGCTTTAGTTGGTGAATCTGGGAATTTTGCTTCGTGGCTATACATTGCAGCTGTGAAGATGAATTCCTTGGAAAAGATCGAGTTGGATCTTTCCGAGATGATTGAGGCAATGAAGACAAGCCCTACTTTTGCACAGTTTACAAAGGATCCCTCTGTCCCCAGAGAGACAAGACTGGCTGCTATTATGGATGTTTGTGATCGAGCAAAGTTTGCGGAACCCACCAAGAACTTCCTCTGTATGTAAATGATAAATTTTGAAATCGCCTTGTTCATGTTTTTGGTTAACCATGTTGTTGTACTGATCAAAACTTGTTGTTTTGCTTTGCTAAAACAGCTTTGTTAGCAGAGAATGGAAAGCTGAAGAACCTAGATGTGATTGTGAAGAAATTCATGCAGCTGACGACCGCACACAGGGGAGACGTCAAAGTTTTGGTTACCACAGTCATGGTAAGCTCTGGTTTTAATACTGTCATCTCTTAAAAAGCCGTAACCAGCATAGTGGATTTAAATGAAATATGTTTTGTACCAACAGCCGCTTCCCCCTGCTGAGGAGAAGGAACTGAAGGAGACACTCCAGGAGATCATCGGAGAAGGGAAGAAAGTAACTGTGGAACAGAAGGTATGTAATGTGATGGCTCATCATTTGCTTGTGATTTTTAAGCCCGGAATCTAAACTTCTGATGTTTTGTTTGGGCAGATTGATCCGAGTATCTATGGTGGGCTAATAGTAGAGTTCCAACAAAAGGTGTTGGACATGTCTATCAGGACAAGGGCACAGCAGATGGAGAGGCTCCTCCGTGAACCTGTTGACCTCAGCAACCTCTGATAAAATCTTCGAGAATTTTCCCCCAAGAAACATGATGTTTTGTGATGGTCTGCCACCAATTGACAAATAAATATGACCTTCCTGGGATACAATATATACCCACTCTTTCGTTTTTGATATTTATCATTTGCGTTTTACAATTGTTGTTTGCTTCGAAATAAGCTTTTCGAGACGTAAAATTTCAATGAGATTTATGATGTTGTCCTAGTCTTGTTGTTTACATTAGATTTGAATAAGATGGGCAATTTGATAACATGAGTCACGAGGCATAAAGGGTGGTCGAGCCACGAAACAAACACAAGCACATTAATGTGCCACGAAGCTGCTTAATTATCGAGCGAAAACACCGTCATTTATACCGTCTGTGGTATAAAACCAAATTGGGTTAAAACAAAATAAAAACAAATAGTAAAACCAAATTGACGTTTTCTCCATCTCTATTTTTGCATCGACCATCTCTAACCTTAGAAATCTGTTCTTGCTAGAGCGAAACCCTAGATTCGGCCATTACCAATTGAGCAGAGATGCTGCGAGTTGCAGGGAGGAGGCTTTTGTCTGTTTCGCAGAGATCTTCCACTGCGTCCTCCTTCGTCCTTTCCCGAGATCATACCCTCTCCGATGGCGGCGACTCCTCTTCCGCCCCCAGATCTGTCCCCTCTGCAGATCTCTCTTCTTTCAATTCTGTCCACCGAAGCCTTTTAAGAGGTCTGCCGATCTACAATCTCTTCTCTCTCGATTGAATTCAATTTTCATTTTCAGGTGTTGATTGAAAGTTTTTTCAAATAATCAACTCCCTTTTCTGGTCTTTTATGAGCCCCGAAACGATTGATATTCCAGTTTTCGTATCTACGCGATGATCCGTGGGAGCAAACGTGTTATCTGTTTTGACTTTCATGAACTCTACGGTTTAATAGTCCATTTCGTTTCATTCTCTTAATGCTTGCAGCTCCTTTCTAGAATAGTTTTGCCTTCTATGATTACGTATTTTCTTCAGAAGGAAATTGATCTTTTGAGTTTATTGATCGGATATGAATTCACTAGCTCTAGGATAATCCTTTGTTTGATGTGAAAAGCTTCCAAATGGTTCTCCTTTATTTGTAAAATCCTTGGGGTGCTTTATCTATAGTGTGTTTCTGGCTTCTTGATTTATAAAGTTTTCATCTTGTGTATCCATGTGTTTCTTCATTATTAGGGGAGATGGATGTTTTAGCTATATACTTGCTTTGGAATATTGCAGATTTTGCAGTTATAAGGCATACTGAGGAACTTTCATTCTGGAATTTAGATATTGTTAACCAAAAGATCTTAGCTTGGGAATTTTGTTTTTCCCGTTGATGTAAATAATTTAATGTTTCATGCAACTTTCAGGTTTCGCTTCTCAAGTCCTCACTCAAGGAAATGAGGTAGGTTTTGGTTCTGAAGTCCCAGCTACAGTCGAAGCTGTCAAAACACCTAACTCAAAGATTGTCTATGATAACCATAACCATGAGCGTTACCCACCTGGTGACCCAAGCAAGCGTGCATTCGCCTATTTTGTCTTGTCCGGTGGGAGGTTTGTTTATGCCTCTGTTATCCGCCTTCTTGTTCTGAAGCTTGTTGTGAGCATGTCCGCAAGTAAAGATGTCCTTGCCCTTGCATCTCTCGAGGTTGACCTCGGGACCATCGAACCAGGAACCACTGTTACAGTGAAGTGGCGTGGAAAGCCCGTCTTCATCAGGAGAAGAACAGAAGATGACATCAAGCTGGCCAATAGTGTGGATGTTGGATCTCTGAGGGATCCACAAGAAGACTCGGTGAGGGTCAAGAATCCGGAATGGTTAGTGGTGGTTGGAGTCTGCACTCATTTGGGGTGCATCCCCTTGCCTAATGCTGGTGACTTTGGAGGTTGGTTCTGCCCGTGTCACGGTTCGCATTACGATATCTCTGGAAGGATCCGAAAAGGTCCTGCACCGTACAACCTGGAAGTACCAACCTACAGCTTCTTGGAAGAGAATAAGTTACTCATTGGTTGATGAATAAATGCACAACAGACAGCGTCTGTGTCTCAAAGATCTTCATATGTTTTTGTTTTTATAATTTCCGGGCTTAAATTTTAGCGTGCGAGTTCGCTGTCCTCACACTTGGGTCTCTCAGCAAGATTGTCTTGTTTTGCTGAATAATACAAACTTGTCATTGTATGACTTAGCATCTGTCTTATCCGGTGAAAAACACTGTCCATAGTTTGTGTTTATTGTTTGAAAAGAATTTTGGATTTTGAATAGTATCACTGTATCAGCTCCCTGCTTGACTCTTAGTCTCAGTTTTATCCTCTCTCCTTTAAAACCTTGAAACGTTGCTTGTGAATCCATTGAGCGAGGTAATTCTAGAGACTAATTCTCTTGAAACTATTGTCGCAACGGAAAAAATTTGCAAAACATTCTCGGTTTGTTCTACCAGTTATCTGCCGTATGTTGGCATTGTCTAAGTACATTTGCTAAAGCACAAACTATATAAGCTCTACACGATCAGGCCAATCTTTCTTCTGAAATTGACCTGATACAGTATTACGATTATACTTCACAGGAAAGTATATCCATCTAATCTAATTATTGGAAAGGGATCTCTCTATATATTGTTCTTTTTATTTATTTAAGTTAGGTAAAAATGAATATCATTTGTCTTGACTAGACCCAGAAAAATAATAAAACCAAAATATATCGCAGTACCAAAAAATCATAACAAAAATCAAACTGAAAAAATAAAAATTAATTTTGGTCAGGATATATAAATGTTTAATAGTAAAAACCAAATTGACCTTTTCTTTTCTCGAAGACTAATTTTAAGGGACTCTCCTTCTCTTTGCATCGGCCGTCCCTAACATTCGGACTCTGTTCTTGCTAGAGCCAAACCCTAGATTCGGCCATTACCATTGAGTGAAGATGCTGCGAGTTGCAGGGAGGAGGCTTTTGTCTGTTTCGCAGAGATCTTCCACTGCGTCCTCCTTCGCTCTCTCGCGAGACCATACGCTCTCCGATGGCGGCGACTCCTCTTCAGCCCCCAGATCCGTCGCCTCTGCAGGTCTTTCATATTTCAATTCTGATCACCGGAGCCTTCTAAGAGGTCTGCCAATTTACAACCCTTTCTCTCTCTGGATCGATTTTCATTTCTCGTGTTGTTTGTAGGTATTATTTATTGAATGATTTTTTTTTAAAAAATCACATTTTTTCCTTATTTGTGCCGGAAATGATTGAGATTCCTAGTATTGTATTTCCGCGTTGATGATACGAGGGAATGAACGTGTTCTCGCTATTGCATCCCGTGAACTAGGATGGTGTTTTAGAGCTCTATATACCATTTCCTGTCATTCTTCTCCTTGCCGAAATGGTGATGCCTTCTATGATCGCGTCTTTTTTTCCAGAAAGAAATGACATTTGAGTTTATTGATCGGATATGATTGACTAGTTCTGGGATAATCCTTTGTTTGATGAGAAAAGCTTCCAAATTACTCTCTTTTGTTTCTAAAACCTTAGGGTTCGTTATCTATAGTTGATTCACGCTTCTTGATTTCTAAAGTTCTCATCTTGTGTATCCATGTATTTCTTCATTATTAGGGAGATGGTAGTTTTCGCTATATACATGATTTGGAGTATTTATAGCACTGAATAGGCATGCTGAGGAACTTTCATTCTGGAATGTATATCTTGTTAACCAAAAGATCTTTGCTTGGGAGTGTTGTTGTGTTTTAAGCAATTTTGTAATATACAGCATCTGATCACTGGATCTGTTTTCTTAATTTTTCCGTTGATTAGAGTGCCTTTAGTTTTTCTGAATTTGATATTATGCTAGAGTATTGTTTTCATGAATCTCTATATTCCTGCATGGATTCCGTTTTTATGTACTTTTGTTTTTCCTTAGAAGTTTTTTCATCAATGGTCACATCTTTATAGCTGTAGCAGATCTTTTGTTTGCGTAAATATTTTTGCTTTAGTAGAATACTTGACCCAAAAAGGTTTGTTTTGATGTGAATATATTAATGATTCATGCTATCTTTCAGGTTTCTCTTCTCAAGTCCTCACTCAAGGAAATGAGGTAGGTTTTGGTTCGGAAGTCCCAGCCACAGTCGAAGCTGTCAAAACACCTAACTCAAAGATTGTCTATGATAACCATAACCATGAGCGTTACCCACCTGGTGACCCCAGCAAGCGTGCATTTGCCTATTTTGTCTTGTCTGGTGGGAGGTTTGTCTATGCCTCTGTTATCCGCCTTCTTGTTCTGAAGCTTGTTGTGAGCATGTCCGCAAGTAAAGATGTTCTTGCCCTTGCATCTCTTGAGGTTGACCTCGGGACCATAGAACCGGGTACTACTGTTACAGTGAAGTGGCGTGGAAAGCCCGTCTTCATCAGGAGAAGAACAGAAGATGACATCAAGCTGGCCAATAGCGTGGATGTTGGATCTCTGAGGGATCCACAAGAAGACTCGGTGAGGGTCAAGAATCCGGAATGGTTAGTGGTGGTTGGAGTCTGCACTCATTTGGGGTGCATCCCTTTGCCTAATGCTGGTGACTATGGAGGTTGGTTCTGCCCGTGTCACGGTTCACACTACGATATTTCTGGAAGGATTCGAAAAGGCCCTGCACCGTACAACCTGGAAGTACCAACCTACAGCTTCTTGGAAGAGAATAAGTTACTCATTGGTTGATTAATAAAAGCACAACAGCCAGAGTTTCTGGTTCTCATTGAACTTCATCTGTTTTTTATTTTAATTAATATTTCGGCAACTTAGAGCAAGATTTGACTTGTTTTTGCTGAATAATAAAAAACTTGTCATATTTATTGAACGTATACTCGAGCTTTGTTTTTCCGACGATGATGAAAGACTCTGTTCATAGTCTCTGTTTATTGTTTATCATGCTTATTTTTCCTATGTATGTGAGAGTTCCGTTGTTATCTCAAGTTTTTTTTTTTTTTTTTTCTCAAGTTTAAAGCCGTCATCACAAATTAAAAGCTTTATATACATATCTCGAAACTACACATAAGAAAACATAGAAAGTAAATGTTAGCTTTGATGGATAATATATATAAAATAAATTATTATACTCACTTTCTTCCAGATCATAAATATCTAAAGTTTAAGAAAGACAAAAAAAAAAAAGTTAGCACCCCTCGCCTACCCTACTCAGGTGTCCTGATTGCACACACAAAAGCCAAAGACCGACCCTTGCAAACTAACAACAGCCATTACAAAATGGTTACAAGACTTAAGCAACCTCTCATGTTTATCATAAGACACCATTAGCTCTATGGATTATCATTATTATTCTATTTACCGGCTTATATCAGACAAAGTGTTTTCTTTATGTTATATGACTAAACTATATTTTGAGACGATATTCTTTTGAAACTTACTGATTTGTAAACTTACTATTATTTCGACATCAAAATTGTATTAGCTAGGCAAAATATATTTTCATCAAGATTGTAAATGTAAGAAAAAATGACATCATTAGGACGTGGAAATGGTCAACTGTTAGCATCTATATCTATCCCGAGCATATCATATTACAAATATATAGAATGATTTATTCGTCGTTTGCGTTCCCGACCTAACTCCACTACCCACCAACCCCATTTTTTTGCCCCTTTTCTTGTTTTTATCCTCTGATCAAACCAAGAACGGATCTTTCATATTTCCCCGACTGAAAATGGCCTCCATTTCCAACCTCGCTAATCTTACACCCGCCACTTGTGTCGACTCCAGATCTTCTTCTTCCTCTTCCTCCGTCTTACCCAGATCCTTCGTCAATCTCCGCAGTTTGAACGCGAAGCTTTCCTCTTCTCAGCTTTCCCTTCGGTATAATCAACAATCGAGACCTTCTCTCTTGTAAGTATATCTATCCATTTAATCTATGCATGTGTTTTTGTCTCTGTATACTCACCAGAAATGATCCTTCTTTTTTTAGCTGAAAACGTTCCTCGAATCTTATGCTGGTTAATTTTATAAACTACTTTAATCCAAAGTAGAAAGTATCAACTTTTTCATATGATGGATTGAGAAAAAAGCAACTTTATGTTCCGTTGTGATTTTGGTGATGGTTGTGTGCTTTGGTTAATTTGCAGTGTGAGGTGTTCAGCCTCTGGTGGAAATGGAAGTGCTGCAAAGAGAACGACTCTTCACGATCTGTATGAGAAAGAAGGTCAGAGTCCTTGGTATGATAATCTATGCCGTCCCGTCACTGATCTTCTCCCGTTTATTGCCCGTGGCGTTCGAGGCGTAACTAGCAACCCTGCGGTAATTTTTCTAAATCCATCTCCGTGTGTTAAGCTTTGCTTTACTCTGTGGTTGTTCATTTTGTCTTTACTCTTTCCCTGTGTAAACCTCTGCAGATCTTCCAGAAAGCCATATCCACTTCAAATTCCTATAATGATCAGTTCAGGTACTCCTGCATATCTTTGTGATGCTTTTTGGCAAGTACATGCTAATAGAACTTTAGTTTTTCTTGTTTTGGTACAAAGTTGGCTCATCTGTTTATAGTATCTCTGACAGAAAAATTGTTTCTTTTTGTTCTATCTTGGATTTTGGATGGGAACTTTATTAGGACACTTGTGGAATCAGGAAAGGATATTGAAAGTGCGTATTGGGAACTTGTGGTGAAGGATATTCAGGATGCGTGCAAACTTTTTGAGCCAATCTATGATCAGACAGAAGGTGCGGATGGCTATGTCTCTGTTGAAGTCTCACCTAGACTTGCTGATGATACCAATGGCACTGTTGAAGCTGCTAAATTTCTTCACAAGGTTGTGAACCGCCGTAACGTCTACATTAAGATTCCTGCTACTGCTCCATGCATTCCTTCCATCAGGGATGTCATTGCATCTGGAATAAGTGTCAATGTCACGGTACGTTTTCCTAAAGTTTATCCATTGTTAGATAGTTTGAAGAAATTCGAATGAATTCGGTTGTTTTGATGCACTTTTTGTATAGTGTTTCTCATATGGTCTTATTATGATATATATCCTTGTTGTGTTCTGTTTCAGCTTATCTTCTCCATCGCGAGATATGAAGCAGTGATCGATGCATACTTGGATGGCCTGGAGGCATCTGGACTTGATGACCTGTCAAGAGTTACCAGTGTTGCTTCCTTCTTTGTCAGTCGTGTGGATACTCTTATGGACAAGATGCTTGAGCAAATTGGTACCCCAGAAGCCCTAGACCTCCGTGGCAAGGTAAAAAGCTCGGTGAAAATCTTACACCGCCACTATATGAATCGAGTATGAGCTTATAACAAAAAGATAATGTTACTCTTGCAGGCAGCTGTGGCTCAAGCTGCATTAGCATACAAGCTGTACCAGAAGAAATTCTCAGGCCCAAGATGGGAAGCTCTGGTGAAGAAAGGAGCCAAGAAGCAGAGGCTTCTCTGGGCGTCGACAAGTGTTAAGAACCCAGCTTATTCCGACACCTTATATGTCGCTCCACTCATCGGACCTGACACTGTGAGTCATCTTTTTGTTTGCAGTCTTATGTTTCACTGCCTCGATACAAAATAGGATTTGAAGCGTTTATGTTTTTTGTTGTGCGGGTTTAGGTGTCAACCATGCCGGATCAAGCACTGGAAGCATTCGTAGATCATGGAATCGTGAAGAGGACAATAGATGCGAACGTGTCGGAAGCGGAAGGGATATACAGCGCTCTAGAGAAGATGGGAATAGACTGGAACAAGGTAGGAGAGCAGTTGGAAGAAGAAGGAGTAGATTCGTTCAAGAAGAGTTTCGAGTCTCTGCTTGGTACTCTGCAAGACAAGGCCAACTCTCTCAAACTAACCAGCCATTGAGGATACCGGTTTTGAGTTTGGTTCATCATCATTTTGTTCTTTTGGTCGTAGTAAAAATAAAGGAAGAAGCTTTTGGCTTTCTTCTCCAACGCTTCCCACTATGCTTTCTTAGTTGTTGTATGGCTTTTGCTTGATCGATGTTCACAATATGGATGGGCTCTTATCTTATCTTAATTTGTTCTTGCATGATGTTTCGAAAGGAGGTTATTTACTTTTTACAGCACTCGCAATTTACGTTTTTTTTTTAATATTTATTCATTTATCTTCTTATTTACCCTTCTCCTGCCGAAAGAAAAGAAAAATTAATTACCGTACTTACCTAACTAACCCAAAATTCAAATACTGAAAAGGTCATCTAAATTTCATGAACAATGTAATAATTTTACATCAAATTATTTTGGGAATATAGTGAGAAGAGGCCTAGAAACCTCTACAAGAAGAAACTGAGGCTTCTTTATCATCTCTCAACTCTCTCTATTCTTCAACGTATCAAAAATTCGGTTTTTCAGTATTACTGTAAAATGGCGTCGATTTCAGCCTTGGGTTACCTCCCTTCGTCTCCGTCTCAGCCCACAGCGCTCACCGGAGCTTACTCCACCACCGTACGATGCTACACCATCTCTCTGTTTCTTATACTTCTTCTTCCTCTGCTCACTGAAATCTCTAAATTCTCATTTCGATTCTCAGAGATGCCGGACGACTGTGGCTGCTCGATTTACCAACCAAATAGATGAAGTCTCTCCTCTTCGCTCTTCTGGTTGGTTTCTGCAAGTTTTGATTTTCCTTTTTCTATAAATTCTATTGCCTCATTAGTGAATTGATGAGTATAATTTGTTTTGGAAACAGGCGGGAATTGTGGGTGTGTTGTTATTTCTGGAGAGTTTGATCGCAGGAAATTGATGGTTTCTTCTGTTGGTTTGTTGACTGGAGCCTTATCATACGATGCTAAAGATGGAGGAGCGGTTGCAGCTGCTTCCCAGTTCGCTGACAGTAAGAATTACAATTTCATTTTCTGAGGGCAGAGAAATCTTTCTTTAGGTTACATTTTGAAGATATTCTCTTACGAATTCGATTAAGTAGTTCCTTTGTACATTTTGGAACAGACCCATCTCTCTGTTTCATCTTACTTTGTTCTCTGTCAGGAGTTTGGTTGTTAGAGAGATATGTTTTTGAGGGTGAAATGGATTTATCCGTGAACTTTCTCTTTGGTTGGTTAACATTCTTTTAGCTCTCTGCATATCCACATTCTTCTCCTTACGTGTGCAGTGCCAGCGATTAGAGGGAAAGATTACGGCAAAACAAAAATGAAGTATCCAGATTATGTAGAAACTCCATCTGGTCTCCAGTATAAGGTCACCCCTTATTATTGCCATATCTTACAACTTGTATAGTTTATTGGGTTTAGAATGTGCGGTGATCTGTTCATCTCTTTAACTTGGCGATTTGATATGAGTGCAGGATTTGCGAGTTGGAACTGGACCTATACCGAAGAAGGGAGAAAAAGTTGTGGTAAGGCAAATTCTGCATATCTATGGTTTATATCCTTGTGCTCAAGTTTAACTTGAAGTTTTCAATAAGAGAATTTGGTGTTCACATATATATAATGTTTCAAAGACCATAAGCTGTTAGTATAAAGGGAAAAATTGACCTGTGTATGTCAGGTTGACTGGGACGGTTACACAATAGGTTACTACGGCCGCATATTTGAAGCACGTAATAAAACAAAAGGGGGTTCTTTTGAGGTAGGACCACGTTTCGGTTCTTGTTGGTTTCATTAGCAACAATGATTCAGTTCTTGATCTGTATGTTCTTTTTGTGAATTCTGTAGGGGGACGATAAGGCATATTTCAAATTTACCTTGGGATCCCATGAGGTTGGTGCTATTCTAAGTTCTTCTAGTTGCTATATGTTGGTTTCACCGGTTTAAAACATGGACTCTATTGCTAAGGGTATAAATGCTGAATGGCTTTGGTGTTCCAGGTGATACCTGCTTTCGAGGAGGCTGTCTCTGGGATGGCTCTTGGTGGTGTCAGAAGGTTCGATATCTTTTCTAGTATCACTCACTCTACACATCCTCCATATCTTTTTTCTTCATTGGGAACTTCATTTAGTAAAATAGAAACTTACATCCTTGGATCTTGTGTCTCTTTCATAACCATATGGTATTGCAGGTTGGTTGTACCGCCAGAACTAGGATACCCGGAAAATGACTACAACAAGAGTGCGCCGAGGCCGTCAACTTTCTCTGTGAGCCTTCACTTAGTGTTATCTGTATATTGTATGGAAAAGATGTAATCTTCAATTTTTTTGTGTTTTATGTTGCGCGCAGGGACAACGTGCATTGGATTTTGTGTTGAAGAACCAAGGACTCATAGACAAGACACTTCTCTTTGATGTTGAACTCCTCAAAATTGTACCCAACTGATATAGCAGTCACAGTCTACTACACCCACAGTATATATATTTATGATGTGTATACTTCAACAGTACAATTGTGTAAAGTGAGCTCAGTTTATATGATTATATGATTATATCACGACTCACAAGTCTTTACTGCCTTTAAGGACCTGTACTCTCGTGGTAGCATTCTCTTGGAACAGCTCGCGTGACCTAGTAGTGATGTTAAAATAGGTCAAAAGTCTGCCAGTTCTTGATAAGGGCATTTCCGTCAAAACTCTTTTGCTAAGCTAAAACAGGATCCAAAAGAGACAGAGTCTACCTAATTTCCTTTTGTATAGTAAAGTTAATAACCTTTTCATAGGGTTTTCTATAATATCCCCTAGTGAGATTAATTATATACTTCATAGTTTTTCTCGAAATAATTGAATATGAACACAAACCAGTGTTAGCTTCTGTTGTTTGACTTTACTAGATAGCCAATGTCTCTGTTCAATGTCAGAGTCGTCATTAATGGAGACTAGAACAAAAAAACAAAACAAGATGCAGTGAGGCCTTGTTGTAACAAGCCCTTCAGCGAAATTTATGTCTTCCAAGTTCCAAACAGAGCAAATGGTTTTAAATTAACATCTACTACTATATATGTATATATCAAGAAATGATTCTCCTCTCTTGAACGTTTAAACTGTGAACAGTATGTATATATATGGGACTCCACGTGCAATTAATGCAAGTCTTTATCTACTCTTCTGTTACCACTTACCAGCTAGCTCTGCCTATTTAATTCCATCTTTCAATTTTAAGCTACTGCATTTATACATTTCTCTAACCAATCCCCAAACATCATTTTCTTCCTACGGCTTTTGTTTTGGTTGGATCAATTACATTATTTCTCTTCTATTATATTGTGTTAAGAAGCTCTCTTGCTTTTATTTCGTCACTGTGAAAAAGATTCCAAGTTTCCATGGTTTTATGAGAAAAGATATCGAATATGGGTGTATCAGAGATTAAATCCCCGGGGAGTGTTCCCGAGACACCGGGAGGTTGTTCAAGCTCGTCTGTGCACAGGAAGCAGTTGAGTGTGTTCTTCATAGAGTCAGATAACAGACGTCTTGCTCTTGGCCGTGGCTATACCGGAGGAACCACTCCGGTTAACATCCATGGCAAACCCATCGCCAATCTTTCCAAAACCGGTGGTTGGATCGCAGCTCTCTTCATTTTCGGTAACTTTTTGTTTTTGTTATGTTTCTTACACTGAATTGGAATATAGTTCCACTTTTCAGCTAACTTTTGGTTTTGGTTGCAATCACTAGGAAATGAAATGGCAGAGAGAATGGCGTATTTCGGACTATCTGTGAACATGGTGGCGTTCATGTTTTACGTGATGCATAGGCCTTTCGAGAGTTCGTCAAATGCAGTCAACAACTTCCTTGGCATCTCTCAGGCCTCCTCTGTTCTTGGAGGATTCTTAGCCGATGCATACTTGGGTCGATACTGGACCATTGCCATCTTCACTACCATGTATCTTGTGGTAAGTATTTTGACTAAAAGACGGTCCTGAGAATGGTATGGATAAGGAATCTAATTATTGGTTTTAATTTTCTGGTGTGAGAAGGGGTTGATAGGAATAACACTGGGGGCAAGTTTGAAGATGTTTGTACCAGACCAGAGCAACTGTGACCAGTTATCATTGCTCTTAGGAAGTTGCCAACCAGCCAAATCTTGGCAAATGCTTTATCTCTACACAGTTCTCTACATAACCGGATTCGGAGCAGCTGGTATAAGGCCATGTGTTTCCTCATTTGGTGCTGATCAGTTTGATGAGAAGAGCAAAGACTATAAGACACATTTAGACCGTTTCTTCAACTTCTTCTATCTATCCGTCACTCTAGGCGCAATCATTGCCTTCACTTTGGTGGTGTATGTTCAAATGGAACATGGTTGGGGTATGGCCTTTGGCACATTGGCCATAGCTATGGCCATTTCTAATGCTTTGTTCTTTGCTGGCACACCGCTTTATCGCCATAGGTTGCCTGGTGGTAGTCCCTTGACAAGGGTTGCTCAGGTATTAGTTGCTGCTTTCCGCAAACGAAATGCAGCTTTTACAAGCAGCGAGTTCATCGGTCTCTACGAGGTTCCTGGCTCCAAGTCTGCTATTAATGGCAGTCGTAAAATCGCTCATTCCAATGACTTCATGTAAGTCTTCTTCTTCTTGACTGAAACACTCCTTACCAACAAGGTCTCTCACTCACACCTTTGATGGATTTTGTCTGGCGCAGATGGCTAGACAAGGCGGCGCTTCAGTTGAAAGAAGATGGAATGGAGCCATCTCCATGGAAGCTATGCACAGTAACACAAGTGGAGGAAGTGAAGATTCTGATAAGACTGATTCCAATCCCAGCATGCACTGTAATGTTGAGTCTGGTCCTCACAGAGTATCTAACACTCTCAGTGCAACAAGCTTACACACTGAATACACACATTCAACACCTCAAGCTTCCAGTGACATGCATGCCCGTCTTCCCAGGACTCAGCATTTTTCTCATTCTCTCCCTTTACTACTCTGTCTTCGTCCCTATCACCAGACGAATCACTGGCAATCCCCATGGTGCTTCCCAGCTTCAAAGGGTATTTATCACTCAAGAGTTTGACTATTTTCTTTTTATGTCCTATCTATCTCTAATCATCATTCATTACTTGCAAATTGGTTGTTATACAGGTGGGCATAGGGCTAGCAGTTTCAATCATATCAGTAGCTTGGGCTGGACTATTTGAGAACTACAGGAGACATTACGCGATAGAGCATGGTTTTCAGTTCAAC